CGCTGCAAGGCTGCAACCAGGTTTCGTTCGCGTCTATTACATGTGAATCAGTTGCACTGGGGAAAAAAAAACACATTGGATCTAGTGTCCAGACTCTTGAAAACATTGACAAGAAAAAATACTCTTGATTCAATCAGATTTTTGCTGAAATCAAAAGGAGATCCGCTCAAATTAAGAGGCTTGGTTCTTGATATAAGCAAAAATCCGATTAAATCAAGAGTATTTTTTCTCGTCGATGTTTTTAAGTGTCTGGACTCTAGATCCAATGTGGTTTCTTTCCAGTATGTTGTCAAAAGGGAACGGATCTATTTTTTGATGAATCTTAGTCGGACCGCGTTAAACAGAAAGGAACCAAGCCACATCAGCTGTTGCCAAATTTAATCGGGCAATATAATTTTTTAACATGAAAACGGTTGTGCGGGGCACCGGGGCACGAAATTTCCGGATTTAATGCAATCGCACAGTCTCTGAAAATTTCATGAAGAAATATTCAAACATTTTCTAAAAAATATTTATTTCATCGGGGGGAATCCGGCAACATTCGAATGCTGATACAGTGGTCTTTTTCAGCGCAGCAGTTTACGATTTAAAAGCAAAATTCATCCACGACAAACACAGGCTCTTGTTAACATAAAAAAAAGAAGAAAAAAGCCCATCTATGCCTGATCCCTTCAAATTCTAAACAGACGTACGATGTAGGCTTCACGATAGCTTCCAGATGAATACATCGGGAGCTCGAAATATAGCAAGAACTTTGATAAAAAGGGCCGACAAGATCATATACTTTCGTTTCTGATCGGAAACGCGTTCGAGAGATGGATGCAATCGAGCGAAGCTGTCTTCGTTGCGATTTTCTTCACCGTCACCTGTTGACCCCTCAACAGCTTACAACACTTTTTGCAGCGTAGGCAAGCTCAAAGTCCTTCATATCGAGCCTTACTATTCCGACACTTTGACCGAATGCACAAGGTATTCTGACGAAAACGATCCGATCGTCTGGAGAAAATGTGTCACGGAAGGTTGATGGAAGGTAGGACAATGTATGCTATAGATACAATTAAGCATAATGGTACTTATACAGGGATTGGCGATGTAGTTAACCGATTTTGTGTAAAATTTTGCGGAGAACACAATGGTGCCACTGGTATTCTCTGCAACCAACTCCCAAGTTCAAAAAGAACTCACAAAGTTGAGGCAGCAATGGAGGGGTTCGCCGGTTCGCCTGCGTTATGGCCCACCTTTACATCCACAGAAGACAGGGATCGAATACATTACGACAATGGCCAAACTATAGGAACGTGCATGATTTATTTTTCATATGGTAAAAAACTGAACGTTATTTTGTCAGAACTTCCCTGATTTTCCTTCTCTCTGTGAAGAAAATTCTATCTGAAAATGCAAAAAGGTATTTATTTAAAGCCTTGCAGTTATACCTCTCAACACACTTTGCAAGAACAACACAATACACAATTCGTGAACCTGTTGCCAGATATCGCTCTCTTGAAATTCGCTCTCAATTTCGCAGTGTGGGCAACAAAATAACGAGAAGCGTGAATCCATTCGAAATCGAAATTCTACCCTCTATTCGAAAAACACGCATTTACATCGCTTCAGAAGCTTTCATTCAACCGCTACACGATGCTGTTTACCTATTGGTAGGTATCGTTGATCTGAAATTCGCCTTCAGTTTTGCGCATAGGCAACAAATATACCAGAGAGCGCGAATAGTTATNCCCGAGACATCTCAAATCACGGACTTGGAATGCCTCACCCCTCACCGTCCCGGATCCCTTACCCGATTAAATGGGGCCCCTAAAGGATCAAGGATCTAAAAGGTGGCAGGGGCCCAGCCCAGGCCCAAGGATCTACAGAGGGGCGTAGGTCCAAGAATCAAAGGGCCCCCAGGAGCCTTGGAGCCCTTCAGATTCTTGGATCTCCCAAAGCCCGAATTACGAAAAGTGACAAAAAAAGAAAAAATGTTTAGTAATCACTGAGTGGACATTGGAAGGCAGGGGCCCTCCAGCAAACAAAAAGTTAGGAACAGTCCGAAAGAAGTATAAAATACCCCGTGCTAACAATAAAAATCAGAGGAAGAAGCCCCATCTCGGTAAGTAAAGGCCCAAAGTTTGAAACCAAAGCTAAGCATCAAAAAGAGAGAGAGAAAAAAAAAAAATTCCGGCGGCCGAGGGCCCCCCTGCATAGCAGGGTCTGCGGGGGCGCCCGTTACGCCACTGATTTACATCGCTTCAGAAGCTTTCATTCAACCGCTACACGATGCTGTTTACCTATTGGTAGGTATCGTTGATCTGAAATTCGCCTTCAGTTTTGCGCATAGGCAACAAATATACCAGAGAGCGCGAATAGTTATCTATTCGATGATTACTTAATCATACCGCTCCATGAGCTTGGGAGGAAAAGACATTCACACTGTTGCCATTTTGTTTGGAGACTCTCGAGCTGGAGTCACAGCAACTCTACTAGGTAATGTATTGCTTCCTATCTGGGAAAGACTGGATATCCCCTGAGTTGGAGTCTCACTGTAACGAGGGAATCCCATCTTTCAGAACATTTTTTGGTCTCTTTAGATTGTTTCAGAGCACACCTACGATGGTGAAACTGCAAAAATGCGAATCTCGGTTGCGGTGTTTCGAAATCTCCCCTCCTTTATCGCTTTTTAAAAGGAGACCAAATTAACATCATGGCTAGAAGTTATCATATACTATTCTATAAAAGAAAAAAAAATCACTGAAATTTTCAAAAAATCATGTTCAGTAGTTTCCTGTGTAGAAAATAAGCATGACGGAAAGGTTGAAACGTTGCAAACATACACCGAGATACGCATTTCTGCAGTTCCACCAGCGACAGTAGTACTTCTCATTGAGTTTATCCCAAAATTTTACCCCGAGGCAAAATACCTAAAGAGCAAATTGCTGCAGCATGCGATGCGAGAGCTCCATTGGACCGAGTTTGGCAGAAAATAATCAAGTTAACTAGCCAACAGGGGTTCTACTCATTCGTTCTTTGAAGGAACTCCATAAGCATGAAGAAGTCTGTAATTGGTTCTTGTCTTTAAATTAAGGCACTGGATGCGAAAAGGGCACTTCCCCGTTGCAGTGTTTCAGGGTCTCCACTAATATTTCGTTCATTGTAAGGAAAGTGAATGCATCCATTTCACTAAAAATTTTACTGAATGTTCCTTGTGATTTACAATTTTCTAAGGAAAGAATTCTGGAAAAATCACCCACTAAATTCTTCTCGAAAGGATTAATTAGCAATAGAGATTCTGAGACACAACAATCGAGAAGTGCCCTGTTTGCATCTAGTGCCTCAATTGATTTCACTGATAAGATATCAGATATCTGAGAGGGACCCGACTGAGCCTTTCATTTCTTCCTCTGAATTGATTTGACTAGAATTGCATCTGGGAGAGGGGGACCGAGTAATTGAGATTTTTTTTGGAAAAAAAATCATGATGTCTCATCGTCGACATCGTCAATACTCTTTCGCAAAAACTGCTATGGCCAAGAAATTAAATTAAGCAAGAGCTGAGTGACAAAGGAACAAAGTGACATAATTTGCGTGGCTAATTTGTTTTAATAATATTCCACAAGGGGAGTGGTTCACCACTCCCCTCGTGGAATAGCAAGTAACTCACGAGTTACTATAAGGCAAAGAGTGAATAAGAAAACAAAATGGAGGAGGCATATGTTTGAACTTGATCAGAATAATTAGCGATGAACTTAATCCTATTGAGGTTGGCTGATAATTCACAGCTAGAAGGACCGGAAGTCAGCGTGCATGATAAGTGTAGCAGCCTCTGAAATGGCCGTGTGCCCAACTTCATTGCAGGCAGTGATCCCAAGCGTACGGATTTATCCGTGCCGCGTGGACATTCCCTATACCGACACAGACCGCGTACGGACCAAAACCTTGTGGGAAAACGCTTCCCTATCTTGTTTAGTCGGTACGCGTGACGTCACAGAATGACGCTCGGCCAATAGCAGCACGGAGAGCTGAGAGCGTATAGATCTCGCACACGGAGCACCCGGGATCACTGATTGCAGGGCGCACAGGTAAGCAGAGCTTCGTAGAGTTTTTCTCAGGTATTAAAACAATGAGCTTGACGGCCACAGTCATAGCTGATCATAATGGTGCAGTAGATTAAGCAGATGGATGAAGACAGAGCAAATCAAGTGCATGAACAGCCAAGCAACTCCACTCATTTAGGCAACTCAATCAAAAGGTTGATACATGCAGTTACACAGCACCATTCATAAAATATGGTAAAAACATGGCTAGAATTTTGTCTAACATGCCATGAGAAGACTCTAACAGCATGGAATTTGAAAAGTTTGAACTCTTAACAACCAACTGCGCCTTGGGTTCATTCATTGAAAAAGCTGGGGTACGCCCTGACAGACAATGAATTGGACTGCATTTTGCAATTTGGAACTATAAATTCTGGCTCCTCTGGAAAAACACTCATGTACATAGGGAAACTAATGGCACATACGTTGTTTTTAAACCGGGCTAGAATTTATAGTTCCAAATTGCAAAATGAAGTCCAATTCAGTTAAGGTTCACCAGTCTATAACTTCTCTTTACAAGTGCAGTCACGAGCTCTGCATAACGTGAAAAACGTTGATAAACTCTGCATCAAATGTAATATGCTACCAATAATACTGACCACCTGTAAGAATAAAGTGCAAGATTAGGAGAGCGCCAATGACGTGGAGTGGCAAGTTGAACAAAGGATTCATACTGAAACCCCTGTAACACTGAATTATATGTTCACTTTGCGTTTGAAGCATCAGCACAGTCGAATCGTTCATTCCCAACATTTTGAATCTGAACTTGAAGAGCAGCAAGGTGAGCTCATTCACTCAGAGAGCTGCGCTATGATGCTCTGTAATTGCATGGGAAAATAAGAGATGTTAGGGCTAAAAATAATTGAGTAAGTATGAATTTGTGAAAAGAGTAACAGCCAAAGAAAAACTCACCAGTGAGGTAAACAGGATCTGGTCTCACGGTCTTCAGAGTATTAATTCACAAAATATTAGTTGAGGGCTGAAATACTCGTCACTTGAGTTTCATTCACGATTACGAATGAGAGGTTTTAACATAAATGTCGTAATAAATATTCAACTATGTACAAGTTTGGCATTCGTTTGCCAGAGACAAGCATCGACACAATTTACTAACGAGGATACGAACCATTCTTGGGTTATGTTTCCGTTAATTTCTTTAGAGTAATTACCACGCACAATGAAAAAAACAAGAGAAATCTTCAAAAACAAATTCACACGAGAAAATTACACACGGAGACAAGTAAAAGCTTCGCCAAGTTAATTTCAATCACTGAACTTTCAGGATCACAACATAACCAAAGTCGAGGATAACAACCGTTCATTCTCCGATGCGTTCAGCCAATCAGAGGGCGTGATTTTCTGGCAAGACGGTGGCGTGATATGACGTCATAGCTTTGCCTAACTTTATTTTATAGGTTGCCAACTATTTCATGAATTATTTTGCTTCTTACCTTCCTCCGGAACCGGAACTTGTTCAATCCGATCTGATTTAACGCTAATTTAACGCGTCCTTGCGGAAATATTGAGTGCTAATAAGCAAATATCTCTGGAATAAAGTTTTCAATATGCAGCGAAGACAATAATTTTTTTTTTTTGATACTACAGGGACTCTACATGATACTATCTCTTTCTAGCATTTTATATTTAAATGATTCGGGACGTTTTTCCCGACGTCACGAAGCAAAATATACTCAAGATTTCTATCTCTGACAATATTAATTGACATTACATATCAATACCGAGAGTAAAAAAGTATTTTTCCTATTTTTTCCAACCACTACGCACTCATTCATGTACGAGTTGGCAACGCTTTTTCGGAAGCTCTTTCAAAAAATGCGCGGGACGATCAACCGTGGCTGGTAATGCGTCATCAAAGGAGGGAGGGGAGTGGAAAGGGGGTGATGACTGTCTACTGCGTGGTTATCCCTCAGGAGGACACGTGTCCTTAATTCTAGCATTCGGCATTCATCCGCAGCATTTATCAATGCTGAGTGGCTCATTGATTTTTCCGACATATCAAATTATGAAATTCCAATTTGTTTGGCTTTTCTCCCTTGTAAAAGAAATATTATGAATTTTCCTTTTTTTATCTCTGCTGCAATCTGATAAGTTAAAAAAAAAAATACAAAGCCACGATGGAGAATAAAATATACTCCTCATTTTAACTCCCATGATTTACACTGACCAAGTAAAAATATCAATGGCTTTCCTTATTGTGTGCCTTTAGTGTAAACAGATGTGACCCACCACGTAAATTTGCCTTAGAGGTAAAAAATCAAATTGATCAGTGCAGCAAAATACCAGTATCCCAAAAAGCTTGTTTCGTAGGAGCTTTGCAATAAGGTTGTAAGAAATTGCAATTTTTTGTGTGACAAAACTTGAAACTAATTGTAAATTGCGCCAGTAATTGAGTTCATATGGCTGAAATAATACTGCCAATTGCTGAAAACATGGTTTTAGAGATCCATGTCAGGCCTGTTGCCTAACTAGTCGTGTTTTTCAAGCAAACGTAAAGAGGCATCACTTGTTAATTTTTATTTCAATTTTTGTCATAAGAAAATTGCAATTTTTTTACAATCTGATTGCGAAGATTTGGCCAATAGTTATAGAAAAATTGCAGTAGTAGTGTAATTTTTAAGCAATCGTACTGCAATTTTTTTGTTGGAAACTGCTAAGTGGCATGTAGAGAATGTCAAAACTGAAAATATATATTTTGACTCCATACATATCGGCGGTGTAGGTCAGCAACCACATATCTTGTTTGCAGTGTCTGAGAATCTCCGCCTCTGCGTTATTTTTCTGAAAGAGAACAAATAATCATCATTCCTTGAAGTTTTTGCAGAATTTTCTTCTCATAGCAAAGAAAAATCACGGCAGTTTTAAAGAATTACTGTTGAGTAGTTTTCCGTTTAAAAAATAAAGTATGACAGGAAGTCTGCAACGTCGCAAACCGAGTTATGTGATTGCCGACTTACACCGTCGATATGTCTTTCCACAGCTGCTGATGCTGAAATCGACTTATGTTATGGAAGATCATAGAATTTCAAAAAACGTTTATAGACACCCATGAACAACTATCAGTAATCCCTGACAAAGCTGTTGACCAACAGGTCCAGGGGATAGGAGCCCTTTTGGTTGGCTGTGAAGGCTTCCTTTAGCCAATGCGAAGAACAGCCAGGAGGCATGTAAGATACATAGGTAGGTACCTTATTTCTGCATCATCTCATCAAATTGCAATTCTTTAAATTACGTAAATGAAATTCTTGCTCATCATTACATATTAAATCCCTGCAATTATCCTTAGATGTTCATTAATATGTGGTCTCAATAGATTTATCGATTTCAAGTAAAGTTTCAATTGAGAACTGTTGTGCTTACCAACTAGCCGAGACAAGACTGGAGGGAATGGAGTTGCGTGATTCATCAGCTTTGCTAGTCCTCCTCTTGGATGCACCCATGTTGGTTAGCCACAACTCACTGTTTACTTTTTGTCGATTCCATCCAACATGAGCTCAATATACTTAGAGGACATCTGATACAGCTGACCAATCACACAACTCCATTTCTCCTTAATCTTGTCTTGCCCAGTCAAAAAACAGAAAATTTCATAAGACGACCCACAGACCACTCCGATTAAAGATTTCTTGAGCTCACCAATGCTAATGCACGGAAAAGTTGTCTAGGTGGGCGAACTGTGTGCTGCTTATCATAGTGAAACCACTAGATGATGGATTATTACGATTATGATACATGACAGGTAAAATGATATTTTTTCTGGGTATAAAAATTATGATTAGTGACTCAAATCAAACGAATTCTTTGGTTAAAATAAAGATTTTATTCTCTTCAACAAGATTTATCCAGGAGGCTAAACGGTGAGTAGCCTGCATTGTAAAGATTCACAATCTCTCCGAATTGGTTACAACTTTGATCCAAAGAGATGTGAAACGTCCTGAGAGAGGGGAAAATTTTTGTAGACAAGTCAAAAATGGAAAAAATTTTTCTGTCCTAATATGTTGTAGGGGTAATACAGGCAACAGGAAGGTAATTGATAAGCAATATAGGATGTTCTTCAAGATAGTACGTAGAAAGGAGAGCAAAAGTACCTAGCATTAAAAGGATTACATCATTATGCTGATTCGAATTTTGTAATTCTCATTGGACTCTACAGAAGTCGCACATATTGATGTGTTTGTATGCAATAGCTGAAAAGCATTAAATACTTAAAGAAAACCAAAAATTCAAAGAGATAGTGGGATAAAAGATAAAATAGAGCCAAGAGGAGACAAAAGAAGATTCAATATCGAACACTGAAATTTAGAGGACAAAAAAAACTTATCGAAAGGAGAGGATAACACTATGCCACCTAATTAAGCTATCAAAGGTAAACCTGGAGACTTCTTCAAAATCTAAATGAGACAGTTTGACCATCTTAAATTTCCAGAGATTTAAAGAAATTTAAAGAAGAAGAGGAAGAAATATTTTCCAGGTTAAAAAATTTCACCCCTCATTTCAGATTCAGAAATACTATTTTCTTATTAGGTGCGTATGAATTTATATCCGAGTGCTTATTTTCTTCAGAGACTACTGAAAGAATTTTAATCATATGTTTCTTTTAAATGTTTTTAATTAACTTATGAGGATTCAATACTTTAATAAAATATTGGAAACATTTAAAAAACTTATGACTGACCAAAAAACATTAAACTGTGGTGGGGAGAGGAGGGTCAAACACTGAAATAATATAATTTTAATAATTAAACTGACCTTAACAAACACAGCATCTTCGGATCTTAAAATCGATCTCCCCAAAGAAAAAAATATATAAATAAATTAATTGAGAAAATACGCAAGTAAGGACTATGACAAGCTCTATATCCTTTATACAATTTAATTAATTAAAAGAGAAACAAAGGGGGTAAAATCATGCTCTAAAAGATTGCTATGTGACAAAACCTCCAAATATTATGCAACATGAATTTCTTTAAACTTTAAATATCTAGCTTTTTATTGAAACAGATCAAGATCCGGTTGAAAATATTATTGCTTCAAGTGTCTTGATGAAAAAAAAAGATTGAAGAACAAAGTACTACAGTGGTAACACATCTTAAATGCGTTCAAATGATTTCAAATTTTCCATTATTAGCTTTGAAAATCAACATTTTTTATTATGTCTTTAAGTTTTGAGATAAAATTTTTGGTGAAGAGGGTTAATTAAAAAAAAGAGGGAGGAGGGGGGATATTACGATAGGGTTTCAAATAAACTTATGAAAGTTTAACGCAATAGACAAACCATACACACAGAGGTATGCTCATTTGAAACAAGATAATTGAGTCTAACTGAAATCTAATTCCGACTTCATGTGAATTGGAAAGTCTTATTATAAGAAAAATTTCTTTGACATTGCAAATCAAACTTGTTAGCAAATGTCCTACGAATGATGAAAAATTTGTATACTAATGTACCCCCCGAAATAGAAACTAAAGTTGTCCTTTTCCTTTTATTTTCCAACACCTTCAGACAGAAATTAGTAGGATTTTCAGCGTAAAAAATATTGGCAGGGAAAATAACTTAGATGAATTCCAGCAAAAGAAGAACTACCAAAAAGTAAATAAACCTTGAAAACCTTTGATTTAAATTTAAATGGTTTTATATACATTCAAGTGTACACCGTACAGGTATAAAAATAAATCTTAAACAAAACAAGTAAGGTCAATAAATAAAAACAAAACAAACTAAAAATTAAACTAAAACAGTTTTGATGAGAGAACAAAACAAATGTGTTGAAATTCACAAAAAAAAAAAAAAAAATTGTAGACATAGTGCTTAAATTTATTTTACATGGTTTAAAATTTAAGTAACTACAATGAAGTAATAGAACTACCACTACAAGCTATGATGCTAGAACAGGAGAAATCATAAATCGTATAAGGGGTGATAGGATATATCACAGATAAGAGCATCTGTTTTACTGTTCAAAGGCATGACATTGGTCAAAATATTAACTGGAAATATGGTGAGGGGAACATTTACAAACTGAGATATAGTGTCTGAGGAGATAATTGAAGCAAAGACATTGTTAAATACAGATTCATCAAACTAAATTATGTGTTTATCATACATTCAAAAAAAGCAACAGTGGATAAAATATTTAAACAAAACGTAAGAGCACCAAAAAAGAAATTTGAGAGTTTTCATCACTAATGCTAGCTGCAATGAAAAAAGTCACAAGGATTCTCACGCGTATTACGTAAAATTAAGTGACTTTGACTAGCAATTACGATTACAGTTTCTGGACAGTATTCACTATTTGCGAGCCACACAAGAATATATGAAGTGACGGAGATAGTGACATCTCTGCTCCAACTTATACACAATTAATGAGACTCTTGATGGACTATTTAATGCCTAATTGATAGCCCATGGTGACAAAAGGTATAAACGCAGAGTCGGTGCATATGCAGATTACAAGTCACTGTGGGAGGTAACAATCCCTGGCAGATGCTTTGAGCAAACCTTCGGACTCTCCACTGTTCCACTTTAAAATTGACTTTCAACATCAATTCTCTCACATTGTCCTAATGATTTCGCAAGGATGCTCGGAATAAAAAGCTTCAAGGGAATATTTATCTTAAACCTGGAAAACATGTTAGAGCTTAATAAAAAAGCTTTCATAATATGTACATAATGTTCCAACAGGAAACAACTTGAAAGAATTAAGTTTCTTTTAAATCACACTGTTTGACAGTATGTCGATTATTAGTAAACCCTTCGAGGTGCAGATTTGAGTTGACGATTGATATTTTCGATGAAGTATACTCGTAGTAATGATGAAGAGAGACTTTAATTTGATATATTTGCCTCAGCTTAGGTGTGTATTATTTGGCAATGACTTACTATTTTATCTGAAATAACCTAAATTATGTCGATGTTGCTAGTTACATTGATTGAATTTAACAAGAGAAAAACCATTCCGCATCAGAAGTCGCACAGTTCCTTTACAATGAATAGGGGATAGATTTTGTTTTCGATGTACCAAAAAAAAAATCCTCAGGGTAAAAAAATAAAATAAAATAAAATCTGTAATTTCCAAAATATAGCATTGCTCAAATTACAAGAAAATAATCTAATGGAAAAAAAAGTCTGGCACTGACTGATAAGGTATGGTTTCTTCCATTGGAGCCTATCGATTTATGGCTATGCCTCGTTCCCCAATTGGTGAAAGGAGTTAGTAAAGGGATAGACAATTTGTACTACTCTTGGTAAATGAGAAATCTAGTATGCTTCAAAAATGGTGGGTACACAATTGGTGAAATAATAGAATTATCAAAGTAAATTTTCTTTTCTGTTTCTCCTGATGAGCTGTTTGCAAACAAGCGCTCAGCTTGTAGAAAAGCACTTTAGATCTAAAGAAAAAGGTCTTCCCAAACACACAGTAAAACTTCGTTTTGACTCTCTTGGGAGAAAAAAAAATGTTGATTGAAAGTATCTCAAACCTTCATCTCATAGGAAATCAAATTATTGGCCTATAAAAATGACTAACTGTCAATTTTCTTGAATTTGGCACCTACTTAAACTTTACTTTTCATATATTACAAAATAGTTACCAACAGAATTGGAACGAAGTTTAAAAAGGGATGAAAAAGTATAATTAATGGATCAAAGTTTTTTAAAACTTTTCTCAGACAACAGAGCTGCCAAGCAACAGTTGTAATGTTGCAATAAGCATTAGAAACTGACTCGTCCAACCAATAGATCTAAGGGTATTTAGATTATGCACTGACTGATTCTAGTTACCTGCCTCCAAATCATCTCAATCCCTGAGGAAGAATTTGTCTGTTTTGAAACATAATTCTCCTTTACATCCAGAAATACTTCTGGTCTGGTACCTCAACTCATCAAAAACAAGCACGTTCTTTCACTTATGCTGCAAGAGAGAATTTTTGGTGCGATGGTTAAAGAAAGTTCAATGTACTTAGTGAAGTTCTTGGACCAAAAATTTTGATTATTAAAGTGGTATTCATTGCTCATAATTTCACTAACATTGGAAAAATAGAGTTTTCCTCTAGCAGAGAAAAATTACGAATTCAGAGAATACCAATACTTGGTCATCATTTGTTTAAACGAAGTTTTACTATAAAAATAATACAAAGATTAAGAATAAAATAATTCATTATGTATAGTATGAGCAATCTAATAAATAAATAATATTGTAATTGAATGACATTTAAAGCCAGGTTAGCCTGATTAAAACAGGGAGATTTTTAGCAATTATGAACAGCAAAGACTTTCAAAGTCTACACGATCATGACATATTTCAACTGACGAGCGAACATATGAGGTGTGCATTTGTAATCTCTATGTACAATGATCAAATAATTTTCCAAATTTTTCCAGAAACTTTCACTGTGCGATTGCAAATTTGAGAGGGCTAAGTATCATTTCGCAATACATAAACACAGTGCCAAATACTAATGAATAAAGGCAACACATCAAATGATCACTCTTCAATTATAAATATATGGTCAGCGTTTTATTAAGAATTACAAATGAGAGGATAAATACACACTTAGTTGATGGTTAAAAAGAGACTAAATAATAACAAAGAATTACAAAGGTACAAACTGAAATTATAATTACTTATAGAGCAGCACCATAATTCATGAGACTGAAACAGAGACAAACAGGCTGTTTTAACAGCGCAAGACACAACTAGCAACATGCCACATGATGGTACTTTCACACGACCCAAAAATCTATCTACTTTAAAGCTGAAACATAAAATTATCATAAGGTAAATTTTTAAAAAATGAAGTAAAAAATAAAAATAACTATAAGCATAAAATCTGTCTTAACTTTCAGATTTTCAAAACTGAAAGAAGGACCACTTACAATCTTAAAGTTAAGCAGACAGAGTATATAGTGCTGCAGCGAACTGAGCAGATTTAATAAGTATTTTTAGTATTTTGTATAATTTGTTTTCAGGTCATTAAAAGAACAAGGATTTGTACCAACCGAATCAGTACTGTTAGACTAATATCCAACATTTCTTTCATTGGTAGAGATCATTCAATCAGCAATTTAGGGCTCAGGGCTTGTAGATATTCTACCTTTTTTAAAAATAACTATCCTCTCTAGACCCTTGCTTTTCCTTGGTAATACTGAATTAGATAATTATGATTGCTTCAATAATGATGCATGCAACAATATCCATGAGACGCAAAAGAAAAATTTCCTAAGGGTCAGACTGCTGGGCTAAACCCTAACAAAAATTTAGAGAGGAGAGTATAATTCAATAATGATTCACAAAGAAAAATCAAGCTTCTGCCTGGCTGACAAGAACTAAAACGCTGATTCTTACATGGTAAAACACTCTCTTCAAAATTGATATTTGAGTGAAGCTTCACAGGTTTTGATCAGTGCTATTGGAAGACACAAAGGTTGCATCAATCCTCCATTATAGTTTATCTCAAAAGCTTTCCAGTTATTCATTTTTAAATAATTTGACTACTTTTAATACTCTGCCTGCAATAGTAGAAATTACTTAAATTAAAGGGATCTAGAAAGCTTCCAACTTTTATGGAGTGTAAAAATAAGAAAGACTAAAATTTCTGAATATTTCGAGAGAGGTTCCAAACAATGAAAAACTTTTACAGTATTTGCAAAACTGGATGTTCTATAAATTTTGGGAAATCTCTGAAGGGCATCCTTCCTGGGGGATGAAGACGAAAAACAAAATTATATCTTCAAAAGTTAAAATTTTCAAATTCATGACTGGCTGACACTAAGCTCTGTGACTATATAGAGTTAAAGAGCTCAATATGAAAGGTTCTTTTCTGTTAGAGATGTTCCCAGAACCAGATACTTTAAGAAATAATGATGAAAAAAAGGTTTTTAACATTTTAACTTTTTTCAAAATTTTAGACCACTTCGATGTATTCAGGTGCTCTTTTTTCAGTATCCTTCGCACAATAGGTGTTCCCTGCACTGTCTGCAAAAATGTATTGCAAAGATAAGAGGGGCCAGCTAATCGTTTTGAATTGTGCAAAAGTAGAGTAACAGGATATCCACCGGGGGAAAGAAGCCTTAACTGATGAGGGTAGAATTTCTTACGGCAAAGATCCGTGACTGGATTTAGAGTGAGAAAAGTTAGCTTCTGCTTGGACTTTTTTTAATCTGCTATTTTTGAGATACTTCCTCAGTTTTGGTTGTGAAATGTTCATCATAGAAAACCTATTATCAATGGAACCTGGCCTCATTTACAGAGGTTTTTCACTTTGATTTTGTCTACTCTTAAATGGACTATCTTCTGATAAAACCTGCTGAGAATTAAGTGTTTTTGAACTCATAACAGCATCTTTGATGTGCAATCACGCCAAGACAGTGTACAAAAAGCATTATGATCATTGATTCTTACCTCCCAACAGTTAAGGTTACTTCACTCAAGAAGTATCGTATATAATGAAAGACATTTACAAAGTAAAATAAACAAGTTATATCATAAATGAGACATTCTCCTGGCTTCCCAGCCTTTCCTGAAATTATCTTATCTATGTTAAACATAAGAAAACTTCAGATGATATTTCAACTGATCCCTGATTTTACAACCCTGCACTGAACTAGACAAAGACAAAAACTGTGCTTGTTTTCCACTTAAATGATAGATATGACCAAAAATGTGTGAAGGCAAAAACAGAGAAGGAAGGAAAGAGTTTTTCCGGGTGAGTACTGAAGAAAAATGAGAGAACTATTTACACTGGTGGGGGTTGAGCCATAAATAACAGCTTAATTGGTACGCCATTCATGACTCAGGAACAGTGGAGTCTGACAAAATCCCAAGAAAAGGATTACTCAGCCTTCAACTGCTCAGTAGTTCATTCAGTAGAAAGATCTGTATTTTATAGCACAGTAATGCTACTTCAGAAGCTTGAACTGTTCATTGATGTTAAGTATTTCTTGCTTCATTTTAGATTTCACCGAAGTAAAATGAGAAGCCAAGAAAAAAGATTAAAAAAGGCAAGATATGTAAAAAAAATTACAAACCTTGATCAAAACAACTTGGGTTGATGAACTTGAGGAGATCATTATCAGACATGTTTTTCAAATCTTGTGGAATTTCCACTTCTGGTTTTTTCTCGACAACTGGTGGGTATAAAGTGGTGCTCTGGAGGCTGGCAACCATTGTGCTCGCTGCCGCAGTGCCAACAGGAGTGTTTAATAAAGACATGGACATGGTGGTTGTAGGACTTGGTCCTGGTAGGACAGAGCTCTCCATTGGTTGAGTATTGCATAGCGCATTTCCTGCCCCAATATGACATTCAGCAGTCGAGTTGACAAAGGCATCAAGATTCTCCGTTGCACTCGCTGTAACTGTTGAATTTACAGAAACAGAGGTATCCATCGCAACAGGAGAAGCTTCAGGTATTAAAGGGGTTTTCATTTGGCTCTCAATCACTGTTGTTGGTACATTCAGAACAGCACTGGGTATTGTCTCTGGAGGCATGAGCATCGGGTGGACAATGACCCCTGATCGATTGGAATCTGTGAATACTTGCTGTAAGACATTCGTGCTTGTTATTGGCACATTTGTACTTGAGAACTGAACTGTGCTTTTGCAATCAGCATTCGAGACATGCGTGTTCGAACTGGTAAAACTGCTGTTATCTACAGCCGTGGGGGGCATTTGGTAGTTCATGAAGTTCGAACTGGCTTTAGGTTGTTGAAAAGGATGCCCATTCACGCCAGGCGGCGAGTTTTCAAGACGCGAGAGGTATTTTTCAACACTCTGAGCACTCTGTGTTGGCAAGGGGGCACTGGCTTGCTCAGAAACTAATGTGTTCAAAGTTGTCATATTTGGTGCCTCCGTTGTTGACAATAGCGGCAGACATGTTGGCTGCGACTGTGAGAGAGAAGGTACAGGCGGTACAGCCGGGCTCAACTCTTGCACCCCAACAATGGGTTTAGGTTCAGGAGAAATGATTTGAGGAGGGGTTTCCAATTCTGTTTTCAAATTGGGTGGTGAGAGCACATCCGGCACTATCATGGGAACAGAGTTCCGCCGGCCTCCGAGAGGGATTAAAGCAGGTGGAGGTAAAAGCATTGTCTTTCCTCTGAGCTGTCGTTTTTGATGGCTGTCTCCTAAGCCACTGTCTGGGCTTTGCCACATCATGACAGGATGAACATCGCCTGGTAAAAGAACAAATAAAAATATATGAGTGAATCAAATACGACTCTTGAATAGTTCCCATCATACCTCAGCACAAAACAGATGGAGTAAAGCAAACCAAACATATCTAAATGCTAAGTTTCGAAACAAAACTTACAGCAAAATAGTTCAGAACTGGTAACATTAGTTGGGAAAGAACAAACAGCGCGGTAAGGCGCGACTGAAGCTCCCTGGCCCTTTGTATGAAAGCGCAAGCCGCTTTATATCCTGTTTGACATGTCTTGTATTCTTCTCAACATCTGTTCAATGTCCCGACGCTTTATCTCCTTTTACTCATTTCGAACTAAACGGAGAGGAAGAATCCAGTTGTGTTGAATAAAAGAATATTTTCTTCCGATCATTTGAGAGGTTTTTTTTTTGAGTTGCTGTGAGCTTTGCTATATCGATGGTGAAACTCCCAAACTTGTACCTCAGTTAGCAACTTAGCAGTCTTCCTGTTACTTTATTCTTTAAATGTAAAATTACTCAATATCAACTCTTGAAACCTTCGGTAATTTTTCTTCTCTGAGTGAAGAATATTCTGTGAAAATTTCAAGCAATCATGTTAAGTCGTTCTCTTTTAAAAAGTAAAGAGGGAGCTGAGATTTTGAAACACTGCAAACGAGATACGAGGTTCAAGAGTTTCGCTGTAGATACGTTTGCTTTACAGTATTGATAAGTGTGTTGGCTGTAAATTGTGTCAATTCGTTGCCAAGAAGTTCTCCAAGAAAACAAACATCAGACAGTAATTCTACACTTTGGCAGTCAATTTTAATGAAGTTCAGAATACTTTCAATTTGGAAAATGAATCTGAGTTGAGTTTTATTAAAATCGGACTGCCCTCGTGTATTTAATCAATATAATAGCTTGATGTTTATAATTCAGAGTTTAAAAGCTACACAATTTAAAGGCAGGAAAAATGAAATGAAAGTGCTGCAAGCAGCAATGAAAATTTGTAGGCGGTAGTAAACATTCCTGCAAGACCTGCTCCAAATTTGTCAATTTAGAATGAAAAAAACTGAACTTGTTGGAAATTAAAAAAAATCATCCATCGGATTTTGGAGTGCAGAGCTCAATAGCTATCTTAGTTTTGTGAAATGAAATACTTTTTTTGAAAAAATTAAGGGTCTAATTTGAAAAAATTTGATAGGTGCCATGACATTACGCGACATGAAACATTCTTAAAATTAGGAGGCACCCTAGTTACTTCCAGTCGCCACTCGCCATGCCAACTGGTAAAACACAGGGACGTTAAAGTAGGTACGTATGGAAACATTTTGTTTTGGTGACTCTTACTTGGAGAATTTCTTGGAGTTATATAGCCTGCAACAGGCAACTCAGGGGCCAGTGAAGGCTGAGATGATAGAGTCAATAAATCATCAGAACGGTACTTGGATGAAGACATTTCTCCCACTGGAAAAAAAGAAAAATATAAGGTCAAAAAAGAAAGGGGCATGATGAGGAGGAAAGACCTAATAATTAAGTGGTGGGCTGCAGCTGACTCTTGCTACATTTTTTGCAGTCAAATTTAAAAAAAGCATCTATCATGATAATCAAAAATAACTTCAGTGCTTAAAGAATATTTTTTTCTTTAAAAAAAATGCTTCTTCATGGAAAATGAGCATGGATATGTAAGCTAGAGTTGATAGAATACTCATAGAGTTACTTTAAGTGCATTAAATTTGATGATTAAAGAACAAGGATCTTTTAACATCTGATGTACAATTGACGTGAAACTCTAAATTAAAACTATCAAGAAATTATTTTAGTAGTGGAGGTGGTGTTCCTGCCAGTCTATGCTTTCAGCCTCCATTTTGCTTGCTTGTAATTTCAAGAAAATTATAGATAAAGACAAGAAGCAAAGAAGCAGATGAAATGAAATGAAAAAAAGTCTAATTGCGTTGTGCACGTCTCTCACAAAAATATCTACTGTATGATTGAATAAAAAATAAGTTACTTTCTCTATTAATATTGAGGGATAGAAAATGGCTTTCTAAAATATAAATATATTTCCATTGCTCCTCTGGACATTTTAGAAAGGGCTGCTCTTTTTAAAGAGACCGATAGTTCTGGAAGTTTGGATTTAAGTACCTATAACTTTTATGAAGGGCGAAGTTGATAACTCATAAGACTGACTGACTATATCTGATGTGGCAAAATTTCTGTGCAGGTATTTGGTTTTTTAAAGACGCTTTAAAACCACGATTCTAAGCCTTTATTCTAAGTTATTGAGAAAATGGAACCGCAGAAAATTTTACAGGATGGGATCTTAAAATCCACAGATTTCTAAAAAAAATGATCTTCAGAAGAAATTCGGCAGCTTCAAATGCAATTAGACAATTTAGGTTGAAGCCATTTTATTATGAGGACTGCTTCCCCCTTTTCACATTCACTGAATTTTTGTTTTGGTCTACTACCATATACGTAGCAGAAAGGTCTCCAGAAAGTATAATGAAGACAAATAAAGGTAAGGTAAGAAACCGTGGGAAGAGAACTGAGAAAAAATTAAATGAACAAGATACAATCCTAAATAATAAACTCTAGCTCACAAATCTCCATTGTTTTTTATGTGTTACGGGAGGTAGAGTTTACTGTTATAAAGGAGAGGTGTTGCTGAAGGCCAAAATCAGCTCTCGCCCTGAATTTCTGTAATTCAAGCTTCTTTTGAAAGGAGACTTACATCTCACAATGATAATTAGTTTCAGACGGTCGCTAAATCTTTTTGGTGAGATAAATAGCTGTAAAACATGGATCTGGAAGTCAAATCTGACCATAGTACATGTAATTTGGCTTTAATACTGTTTACAACCAGGGCGTATGCTGGCATCAGGGTGATTCCTCCATTGAGTGACCTTTTTTGTGCTAAAAAAAACATGCTGATAGCTTGACCTTCAATTGAAAAAGGAAGTTAATCTAAGAAGAAACCATGAAGAATGGCCATTGATGACTTTCAGACCCACGTTCGCAGCAATAATTCTTGCAGAAAGGATTCATTACAGTTATTTGCGGTTCCTTGGTAGAAAAACAAGGTTGACAAATCTGATGCTTTAATTATCTGCTCTAGTGTGAGGAATTACTCCGCAAGAGAGAATATATTCCACCAGTTGACTTTGTTATAAATTCAATGCCACAAAGTTCTTTACATATTAAGACAAATGGAATCGAAAAAACATGCAACTTACAGGGATATACAGGGTGTACCAAAAGTCCGTCCCACCCCTGCTAACTTTTGAACGAATTGAGCTAGGGTAATGAAACTTTGGAAATGTTCCTATCTCAAAGGGGACCATCTTTTGGGGGGGTCAAAATTTTGGTCCCCCCTCAGGGGGGGCGCGCAGGGCCCCCAACTTTTTTTTTCAAATGGCAACCCCTATCTTGTGATACATCATTCGAAAGAGCATAAAAACCTAAGAATTTTGGCGCAAACCGCAGATCAATATCTTAATTTTTGACCGCATTATGATAGGTCAAAGGTCAAATTTGACCTATTTTCAAAAAATCATAACTCCGGTTCAAATTATCGTAAAGAAAAAAATAAAACGGGAAAATTTACCAAATTGTGTCCGCTTTTAAGTAAAAATTGCAGAAATCACTTCGCTGTAATTTTCAGGGGGGGCTCGGACCCCCAAATACGTCAATTCAAAGGTCATTCAATTTTCCCGCGAAAAAAGGCAATCTCCAGTAGATTTGCCTCCACATTATCTCATTAAGGTCAAAATCAGTTCAACATTACGTTGGCAAGTCCCCAAATTTCGGGAAAAGTTAAAAAAAAACGAAATTTAAACGGTCAAATTTAATCACCTTAAATTTCGTTTTTTTTTAAACTTTTCCCGAAATTTGGGGACTTGCCAACGTAATGTTGAACTAATTTTGACCTTAATGAGATAATGTGGAGGCAAATCTACTGGAGATTGCCTTTTTTCGCGGGAAAATTGAATGACCTTTGAATTGACGTATTTGGGGGTCCGAGCCCCCCCTGAAATTTACAGCGAAGTGATTTCTGCAATTTTTACTTAAAAGCGGACACAATTTGGTAAATTTTCCCGTTTTATTTTTTTCTTTACGATAATTTGAACCGGAGTTATGATTTTTTGAAAATAGGTCAAATTTGACCTTTGACCTATCATAACTCGGTCAAAAATTAAGATATTGATCTGCGGTTTGCGCCAAAATTCTTAGGTTTTTATGCTCTTTCGAATGATGTATCACAAGATAGGGGTTGCCATTTGAAAAAAAAAGTTGGGGGCCCTGCGCGCCCCCCCTGAGGGGGGACCAAAATTTTGACCCCCCCAAAAGATGGTCCCCTTTGAGATAGGAACATTTCCAAAGTTTCATTACCCTAGCTCAATTCGTTCAAAAGTTAGCAGGGGTGGGACGGACTTTTGGTACACCCTGTATTTCTCGAATTGACATAAATTGGTTTTTTTGTTGGTAGAATGAGGGACAACTTAATTTAAAAAGTTTGGAGCAAACATTACAATGCTATATAGGCTATATTTATGTTCTTGAAAGCTCTTGAACATTTTTAGACTGGCGATAGTTTGAAATTTTATATGCAGTTTTCATAAAACTCAATTTCTTGCGCCTTTTTACCAAACACTGCCACATAAGTTAGTTGTTCTTCCATTTTTGAACAGATCATTGAATCGTGACAACATAGAAGCTTTCATAGTGGAAGAAATCGAATTAATTTTTGAGTACAAATCAGTAATGTAACTTTACTACGTCCAATAGGTGCATAAAATTTGTCTGAAAATTGGATTCAAGTTGGTGATCATACGATCATGGTAAAGGTGACGTCATGACTCTGTGTTATGGTATTCTCACTACAGAAATACGTAAGGATCTAACTTTAGTTAATCTTAAGTTCTAGAAAAAAGTTTTATAGTTAAGTTAAAAATAAGTTTCTTTCAAGACATTTTCTTTTTGTCCAAAAACAATAGTTGTACAATTACCTTGTGTGCAAATACAATAAATAGATAAATAAAATTCGACTGGGTAAAGTGGGGAGGATCACAATTATTAGCCTCTTGAAGTTATGATCACCAACTTGAGTCTTTGAACTGATGCGTCTTTCTGCCTTTGCTATTTGTAAAAATTAGACCCTAGCCTTTTAAAGTGAGGGACACAAGTAATTCTTTGCATTTTCAAATTTGGTACGGCCGTGGTTGGTATTGAACCTTCTCTACTCACATAATTTTCTGCGCTTTATTAAAACATATGTAGACGGTGAAACTCCCAAATGACATACCTGGTTTGCGGTGTTTAAAAATCTTGCTCCTATTTTATTTTACTAAGGGAGAATAAGTCAACATTGTGTCCTGAAGTTTTTTCATAATTTGCTGCACATGGAGGGGAAAAATCACAGAGGATTTTAAGTATTCTTGTTCAGGAGTTATCCATTTAAAAAATTAAGTATGACAGGAAGTCTAGAATGTCGCAAACCAGGATACGTGGTTCGGGAGTTTCATCGTCTATATGCCTCCTAAAATTGTTGGCCAAGGTAAGGTCACTGGTCAAAATAAGTCAACCACAGACGAAATGGAAAGATGGAGGAAGAAAAAGAAAAGAAGTACATAAATTACTCACAGTTCATTAGTGAAGATGATGATGGTTTCGACTCTGGCTCAGGTACTGCAAATAAAAGAAAAGAAATACCATCAAAATTAAAAATGCTACAAACTTGAGTGATTACAAAAAATTTCACCACCTAAAATACGAAAGGGTTGAGTAGCCTGAAATATTTCAGCTGAATTTAAATTATTACGAGAGACAAAATGACTGAATGGTTTTTGTTCTACATTGAAATACGATCTTCAAATTGAAGCCAGTAGTAAAAATGAGTCACAATATGAGAATATCATTTCTGCCATGGAAGCAAAAAAACCATGAAGTCCTTATCAGTTTGGATGATAAATTTTGAGGCACATTAATGGAGCAGTTTCACAGGACGGATTGTTTCCTCATAAAAACATCAGGATGCCAAAAATAATCTGGAAGTTTCGAGGCCTTCGCTTTGATAAAAAAAAAAAAAAAGCGAGGAAAAAAGGATAAAAAAAAGCGATAAAAATAACAATAGATACATTAAGCAAGGTTTTCATTGCAAAAAAACTTCTGAAAAATTTCAGCATAGAACATAATGAAAATAATATAATATTGAGTGAATATATTGATATGATGCTTAAATAATTGACACACTACTTAAATATTTAATGATTTATAGGAGCAGAAAAAATGAGGTGACACTTATATTTTTCTAAAAATAAAAAGGCGATTTTATCTGCCTCAAAGTTAAAAATTCTATGACAGTTCAAAATTCATAAATTAAAGAGGTTCAATTAGAGAAAAAATTGAAAATGTTGGCGGTTGAAATCTCAAGATTAATTTTGACAGAGATGAGAAAACAATCCATCCTTGTAACATTTAAGGGCTGGTTCTTACTTAACCTCTTGGTAATACTTGGAGGTAATTATATTGTACAAAGGCAAACTTTTAGAGGATCACTCACACATGAGATAAATTTCAATAAATTATTTTTCTTGGGAGTATTGTATGGGGAGCGTTCCTTCTATTTTTTTGTCTTTTGAAACTTTTACTTAAAACATGGTGAATTTAACAAAAGAGAGAAAGATTTGGGTAGAGTAGTAAACCTGAAGTGCACAAAATCATACAAGAGAAAAACTGAGAAAATAAAATCATGCAGAGAAGAAAAAAATGATGAATAACATCCTCCAATCATCCGGCATCCAATAAAAAGTTGGGTAATTTCTGAAAAAGTAGGGATCTACCGACTGCGTAAAACCAGAAGGGCTAGTTCGAAGTTGCAATTGCATGAGACCACATCCTCATGATTTAAAAAGCTATGATGTTTACTTCATTCTTGATGCATAAGACACTAGATACACTCATATTTTTGCCACTCAATTATATAAAAGGTCATATAGGATTTCAGTTAAGAACTCCGTAAGAATCCTCTGAAGATTTCTATTTTCTCTTAGTCTTGCTTTGTATTTTGCTTTATTTATAATTGCATTTGTTCTGCACTTGCTTTCATCCATTCATTCATCGCACACAAAAAATTTGGCACTTTTTTTTTAATCCTCGCAGTCATGCAGGAAATATCTGGACCAGAGGTGTCAACACGTTAAAAATATACCTTCCGCTGCCTCCTAAATAATTAAGGCTACCGGAATCATAACCTGTAATCTCTATTGCAACGTTTCACTGTATCCTCTTGCAGTTAATCTTTCAAGGGAAAACCGAGGAATTCTTTTTTAGAACTTTTATCTCCAAATCTTCTTATGGCGCAAAGAAAAATGGGAGAAGTTTCTAAAATAATACGTTCATGAATCCTCAGTCCGTTTAAACTGTGCGAGAAAGTAATGAAGAAGGGCAATGAATAAAATAATAAATTTCAAGCCTAGGGGCATAAACTCAACTCCTTTAAAGTACATATTTCCTACATTTTAATACTTGAGAATCAAAATAAAACTGAAAGTTAGCGATCACATGAAATTCACTTCTGGCCTCAAAAACTTTTAGAAAATAGTTCATCTGAGTATCATTTGAACAAATCTGAAAATCAGCCATCTGAAATTAGATTATTCATCTGAAGAAATAAAAATTAACGGTTTCTTGAATGTAATTATTACCTAAGAAATATGTCATATGCTTTGCTAGATGAGCACTTAAAAGTGTGAGCATGAATAAAGGCAGAGAAAATAAGGGCAGCTCATGACTGACGTACCATTTCCACAAACAATGATGGTTGCGCACCTTCAATTGTTTGGGTGGTAGATTGCAACTGTGACATGTGCAGTGTACCTAATGAATTTGGTATAAAATTGGATATCACGATAGAGGGGGAAAAATAATTCAATTGTCAAAAGGTTCAAAGCATTGTTTGATATTACATCATCTTCTTGCACAGTTTCCAAATTAACAAGTCAACTGTTGAAAATAAATCACAGAACGGATTTTATACGAATGGCTGAAAAAACCGTCTAGCATCATGAGCGAAAGAAACTACAATTGATTTGTGCCTAAAAATGTTCACACTTTTTTTGTGAGCATCAGGCAAGGGCATTAATTTTTTGTTTCAAAATTCTGTTTCCTATCCCAGAAGAATTGTGGGATACTTGTCTGGAAATAAAAATCAACAATCAATACACTCCTTCTTTGTATCGCACTCTTCGAAAATTTCATAATTATCTGGGATGTATAACTTTTTGTGTTGTTTGCATTGTGCAAGAAAAAAGAAAATGAAAATATTTGTTCTCTTCCATGTTAGTTGAGTTGATTAAACTGAAACGCTCCCACACACGAACAGTGCACAACAGGTGATAAAGCGATAGGGGGGTGGGGGGAAGGGAGGAATAGAGAGGTTAAGAAAAAACTACTCTCACTGGAACCCTGCAACTATCTGGAAAGATCGCGAAATATTAATCTGTATACTTCCCTGAAAACTCTCAATATTAAAGAAAAATTCCCTGAAATTTCTCGATAAAAAAATAAAAAAAATTCCCTGAAAACGTAATGATAATAGCAGAAAAAAAAATAAAAAAATGTAAAAAAAATCTTATGAAACCAAGATCAAGGTAAAAAAAAAACCTGGAATTTATTCAACCTAAAAAGTACGACAGATAAGGGGTTGAAGAAAACTTGTGAGAAATAGCTCTGGTGCAAGAATAATGATAATAATCTAGATAACTCAAATAAAGCTAAAACCTATCGTAAACTGCTTTTGGAATGGATGTGAACAATAAAATTAAGAAATAACTGTATGTGAATCGTTACACGAGAAATTTAATAATAATTGGATCTATTTTAAATTGAGAATAAAGCTAAAATGAAAAAAAAATCTTGAAATAAATTGCAATGAACTGCAGAGGTTCAACTTTCATTGGAAAAAACTTGAAAACTTAAACTGAATTGAGAAACTTAAAACTTCCCCCTCTTCCAGAAAACAACCATGATTGACGTAGATAACTCCGAAAATTACTCATGAGAAAACATAATGTGAAATTATATTATCTTCCATCTTTTTGTAAAAACATTTCAAAATACTTAGTATAGCTTCATTTCATGAACTTTTAAGATGAAGAAAACCCACCTCACCCCTCCTATGCTACAAAAAATCAAAACTGGCAGGCTATAGTAACCGACCTTTATACAGGAAGGTTCCTCCATTAGTTCTTCAATTTTAACTGTCACTCGTGAAATTAAGTAGATGATAATAATACTACCTTAATTTATAAGTAATAGTAATAACACTAAGAGATAAAAATTTGGTAAAATTTAAATAGAGTAAGTATACTTAATAATAGAACTAATAATATAAATTGAGTCCTGAAAAATTAACCGTTGAACCCAAAAACATCGAAGCCAGATCTGAGATGGGCTTGTGCTGTTCTATCTTCTTTTTGACCGATGAAACAATGAAGACACAAATAAGTAAACGCTCATTATACCCGTATAATTTACTCGGCCCTAAAATGATACGATGGGACTCTAAATGGTATTATTGCTAAGGTGATGACTTGATAGTTCATGAGAATTCTCTAGATTTCCTGTCATTGAAGTGTACTCCCATCACTGATAACATGAAAAGGGTTGCACTCCAACTTAAGAACTGATAAAAGTAAACCCTTTAGGTACGAGCATGAAATACTTTAGGTACATGTAAGATAAAAATGGCATGCTTCTATGTTTTATTTTATCATTTTTACTAGGGAATTTTGGTCTTCTCTCTGCAGCAATCATCACTTCTTATTAAACTTCTGATTCTATTTGAAGAGGAATTTTTATGACGGATTAAAAAAAAAAAAATAAAAAAAATACAAAAAATTTAAGCATTACAAAAAAGTGCTAAATTTTCATTCTTTTTCCTTAATTGGGATTCTGAAATGATAGGAATACACTTTCAAGAACGCATAACTTATGATTGTAAAATTAAAGTTTAGGCTACATACTAAGTAATAAAAATCTAGCTTAAAAAAAGAATGGAAGAGCTACTTAAAAAAATTAAAGGTTCAAAATGGAGAAGAAAAAAACCCCTAACACAACCTTGTCTTGGTGAATTCACGAGATACCTAGATTATTCAAAGAAACATGTATTTTTGCAGAAGGAAGTATTCATTTCCATCTAGAATTCTGAGAAGAAAAAGAGATATTTTTTAATCATGTGCGAATTTTCCGTGAGACACTCGATAAAATATCTAAAAGAGGAGGAACTTAGAAGAAAATAACCTCACAGATTTATCCAGAAAACTAAAGAGGAGTAAGATTACATGAACCCTCAGATAAGAGGGGCATTTGAAAGCAAAAGAGAAAAAAGAAAGACGAAATCAAAAGGATTGGTAGGGGAACAGTAATACAGTAAACGAAAAGGTTCTGATATAGCTGAGTGTGAAGGATGTTACAGGGAGCAGGAGTCTTGGAGAAAGAGCAGGAACAGATTTTTGGAAGCTGGCAAAGTAAAATTTAGACCTTACTTTTTCTACTTGATACTTACCTGCTTGATAAAAAGGCCTACATCAGGGATGAAGCGCCCAACAGTTACCCGAGAGTGAAAAATTCAACCAACTGCTCAGAGCTTCAATTTAGACGCAGATTCTAATTGCTTAAGAAACAAA